TTTAAAACAACTCTTCCATTAATTTGTGTGGACTTTAATGGGAGTGACCCAAATATTTGATATTCCTTCCATCATTATCCTATGTAGATGGGGGAGCAGAAAAAGACAAAACAAAAACTAGTGTCTAGAATAGCAGTTCTTTTTTTTTTTTTTTTTTTAAGTATATACTGGTATTCTTCCAAGTATTGTTTTATGCAATTTTTATTATGCCTTAAGAAGAAAATTCAAAACATGCATTTTTTTCAAGAACCATAGACAGAAGAACCTCTCATATTAGTATTCTTCAGAGCTCCTTTTTTATTTACCCAATTAGATATTTTAGTGTGATGGGGAAATACCCTGAAGACTTTTCTTGTTATGTCAAAAAGGCTAAAAACTCTTTATGACTAAATCATTCTTTCCCTTGTTATCCTCATCTCAAGGGATGTAATCCTTGAAGAATTCCGCCTTGTAAATTTGAAACTTGCTTAACGCTAATGAGGAACAAGTCTCAAAACAAACAAAAGCAGGAACTCTCTACCAGTAATCATGTCTAGGATGACTATTTCAACAGCATTAACTTGGCAACATAAAGTACCCTTTTTTTTTTCTTTTATGTGGAAGATTCAATTTTAATAATCTGGCACATCAGATAGAGTATGCTGCCAATTCCTTGGAATAAGTGTAGTTTCAACCTTAAAAATATTGCAGAGATTATTCATCTACACCTTTAAGCAAGGCTATCTGTCACTGAGTGCCTTTTTTTCTCTTGCCACGGTAATTGGAAGGACAACTAATCAGATTAAAGAGAAAATGGTACATTGATTCAAACCAAGTATTTTTGTGAAAGGCTTTTTACATAACTAACTTTTAAACACTAAACGTTTCCTAATTTTACAATTGTGTAAGGATAAACCAAATGTGAGGGAGTAGTATGTTACCATCGAAGGAACACTAGCATTTTAGACAAGTTGCCATTTAGAGGACAACTATCCCTCCTTGGTTTCTGTGTATCTGATACTGTGCATAGGTCCTGGTATACCATGGGTGAGCAAGACAAGCATGTTCCTTGCCCGTATGTAGCTTATGGTAAATGTGTAGCCTTCACCAAGTCACTTAAGTTCAATGATGTGTGTTTCTTATTCTATAAAGAGGCACCTGAAGGTATAGAAGTGAATAAAACAGACATGGAGGTGAGGAATGTGACAATAGGTAACAGTTTTAAGTATGTTGGTCTGAGAAGGCCTCATTGAGGAAGTGACATTTGGAGAGAGGAATGATGTGCATATTTGGGGAAAGAAAATTCAGGTAGAGGAATCAGCAAATACAAAGGCTCTGAGGTGGGAGAGGGCTTTCGTGTTCAAGCCAATAGCAAAGAGGCCAGCATGGCAGAAGAGGCAGAAAGTGGGAGAGTTATAGCAGATGGGGACAGAAAGAGAACTTGGGATCAAACCCTGTAAATTCTTTCTTGGCCATCTATAAGAACATTGGCTTTTATTCAAATTAGAAGGTTTTGAACAAAAGAGTTACCTGGTTATGTTTCAAAATGATCACAGTGGTATATTGAGAATAGACTGAAAAGAAGAGATTATGTGGTTTTCCTTTTTGCTCTCTACTCTATTCTTAAGAAATCTGTTTTCTGCCTAATCATATTTCTCCAAAAAATGATAAGCTATCGCATATTTTCTTTAAGTAACAAATGTTGACCTAAGCCACATAAGCTCATGTTAACTTTAAAAATATCCAGGAGAATTTCAGTAAGTGTATTAAATGATGGATTGGTATGTGGTCAATATTTGCTATTCTCTAGATAATCTCTTTAAATTTATTTGTATTTTTAGCCTTGGGGCTCTATTTTACGGAATTGGAATTTCTTAGCTGTAACACATCCGGGTTACATGGCATTTCTCACTTATGATGAAGTTAAAGCACGACTACAGAAGTACAGCACCAAACCTGGAAGGTAAGACTTTTTAGCAGTAATATTATGTGATATAGCTAAAGATGAAAAATCCTTTGTGGTTCATTCCGAAGTATATCAACAACACCCATTGGGGGTTTCTGGGGGGTGGTGTAGAAAAGCAAATAGACTGAAAGTCTGCTTCTTAATTGAACCCTTTAAATTAACACATTGTGCATGCTCTGAAACTTAGTGTTCATAGAGTAATACTTCATTTTTATTTGATTTGTGTGCGTATGGTATTTGTCCTTTAACAAAGTCTTCTCAAGTACAGGGGCTAATGGTGTTGTGCTTTACTGGGGATCAACCCACAAAGCACTACTTACCTCGTGGTTACATTTGAGAATCTAGGTGAAATATCCATCAAATGACTTTTAGTGCTAAAGAGTGGTCTTGAACCCTAAACTAACCTGTCAGCATGACACTGATTCATTTGATTATGGTAAGCGTGCCATTTAAGAAAGCAAGGTGCTAAACATGAATCAGATATTCACTTCATGAGTTTGGGGATGGGTAGCTACCAGCAAAAAGGTCAGCAGCAAATGATGAGAAGATGTGTAAATGAAATGAAATAGGAAAAAGGTGCATTAAGAAGAAGAATTTGTTCTAAAAAGCCACAATGTGGCTCTCATCACATTGTTAGCATTAGTATCTCTTATCTACATGAGTTGTTTGAACTTCCTCTGTAATAATCAGTTTTAGAAATGCCATCCTAAAACAATGTTTAGGGCAACAGAAAAGGATGTTCCATTAAAAACTGAGCAATTTCACAAGTATACATTTCAGTATTTACCAGATTCTTGGCATGTGAATAAATATGGAATTACTTCTAAAACTACTTACGATGCAGACTTGTAATAATTTTCTTCATTTTAGTATACTCTGTAAGTTCTGCCAAAATCAGTAGTATACAGAGATCTTGAAGATTTTAATATAACATTCAACTCTATTTGAAAGAATTTTATCATATTAATTTCTTAATGTAACAGTTTAATAATGGTCTTCTGAATTATAATTTATAGTGAATGTCTATTTTTTTGATACTTTTTATAACATTACAGCCATAAGTCTGTGTGGAGTTATTTTACCTGATTCTGATAGAGGATGCCAATAATTGACAGGTCTGTATCCTATTTTCAGACTCTAGGGGAATATGTGTTTAGACTTCCTTGAAAAGTCCTTTCCAAAGTTTCCATCAGCATAAAGTTCTTCATATTTAAAAATCACAACTCCTTTTTCTCTTTAAAGACCCAAGTTTTTTTAAAGATGAAATCACATTTCACTGCCAAATATATAAGCTAATGATATCCAATAACTATATAGCCATTATATATGCTAAATTGAATTTTGTAAAATTACTTTTATACTACATTCATCAGTAACTAAAGTGTATTAAAAGATGTTTGTTTATTTCTGCCACATACAAATAGCAGCTAGTGTGGTAAAATATAGCCAACAAATTTACGTTGACTTACTTTTCATCACCTGCTTATTGAGTTACAAAATCAGATGTGGATATCATGATGGCAAGATTGGGTATAATACAATTAAAGAGAAATAATCTAAAATGAGATGAGTAGATAATGAAATATAATGATGATTTTCAAGCCAAGTCAATATCTCCTTTTGTTGGATATTAATTTTAAGGGACTTTTTCTTTCATTTGACTTATATTTTTGAACTGTCTTGGCTTCTCATTGCAAGATATTGAATTTGACATGGGTAGATGGCAGCCATGAACTTATCTAATTTGGTTTCTAATTAATATAGTCCAGTTCTTTTGAGCTTTTATTTAAAGAATGCTTGGAAGAAAAATTATAATATTAAGCAAATTATTTAACAAGTAAAAATGCTTAACTTTAATGTTTAAATTACGAAGTGTTATATAGAATTCTACAGGAGAAACTGGCTCAATTTCTGCCTTAGGTGGACAAATTAAATTTTTAGTTATTTGTTTTGTTTTTACTTACTAAAAATGACTTATGTCGTTACTGTTTCTACCACCAGCACTTCTGTACACAACACCCTTGACAGTGATGGTAATAAATCACTTGATAGTTTGTAACTTCATTTATTTTCTCATATTACTCTGGAGATACTTAAATAAAAGGAATTATTATCAGTGTTTGTTATAAATCAATTAATGGAGAAATATAGTAATGTTAAAAATAAAAGATAGAATTTTATATCTGGAATGCTAAGTGATTCTGTTTATTCTATGGTTAAAAAAAAAAAAAAAAGCCTAACAAATCATTTAGTAGTTGGCTTACCTTTTGAATGTGATTAAGCATAATTTTCTCATGTTTTCCAGCTACATTTTCCGGTTAAGCTGCACTCGATTGGGACAGTGGGCCATTGGCTATGTGACTGGGGATGGCAACATCTTACAGACCATCCCTCACAATAAACCCTTATTTCAAGCCCTGATTGATGGCAGTAGGGAAGGATTGTAAGTATGAGAATCTGTAGTCAGGATGCTTATGATTCACAGATTTGAAAAATAGAGACTGCTTTGCAAGGGAGAGAGTGGATAATAAGGTTGATGATCTGGCTGTTTGCTTTTTATCTCTATTTAGTCTATTAAGACTAAGATATGGATGGTTCTTAATTTTTATTGTTCATTTCTTTAAATAGTCATTTTAAGGTAACTTAGTTATTTGAATGTAGCTGGATGTTATAGCAAATACATTCTAACTTCAAATTACAAAATGAATTTATATCTTTCATAGGAAAAGAAGATGGGGCTTAAAAGTACTTTAAAGAAAGACATAAAACTGTGTATATTAAGAGAAAATTCTTTAAAAATAAAGACTTCTTTTGCCTCATGTAACCCTCAAACTGCTAGTTTTATTTTTTATTTTGACTGGTAGTGTCAGATTTTCCTTTTCTCCTTATTCTTTTCTCCCTTAACCCTTTCCCTTCCTTTTCTCTTTGTATACCCTTCTTTTATTCATACTGATAATGAATCTGTATTCCAGAAGTAATTTCTCCTCCTTTCATTTTAGATTAATGATTATTTTCCTCTCACACAAAGTTTGGACATCTTAGTAAATATATCTGGTTCTTCTTATTAATTGTAGTTATCTTTAT